CCCCAAAACCCCAAAACCCCAAAACCCCTTGATGTTAAATTCATTACTAACTTGGTTAAAAATTATTGAGATAAGATAAATTAGATATGATAACTTTGTGTGACTAGATCTCTACTCAATAGGTCTTATAGTAGTCAAAGATGTAAGTGCCAAGATTATTGGTGATAATTTCTCTTGAAGATCCATCGTACTTGATGAGTTCCTCCAAGAAATTCAATGTCATCATCGCATCAGCTGGTAGCTGCTTGCTAAGTAGAGATGAAGGTCCTCCAGAATGGATTGACACTTTGATGAAATGAATGAGGTAGAGTATAAATTTCTTGTAATTATTGTAGTGATATTGCTTGAATATTGTAATGAGACCGACAACAAAGTGAGGACCATCAACTATAAGCTCCTTATTCTTTCTAATAAGAGAGTAAATATTGGGGTCATAAGTTAGCTGAGTAAGGGCATTAAGAGTTATCAAAGCAGCAACGAGTGGGAAGTGATCTAGATCCTTCGTGAGTTTATATACTTTATTCATTGGGTTTACGAATCCAATAGCTTCTAGAGCCACTGTCATATCTTTTAACATTCCTTTAAGTCTATTCTCAGCATCTCTTTCTTTTTCAGCTCTCATAGCTAATTACTATGGTGTTAATAGTCTTGTATTATTAAGAGTCTCATTTCCTCCAAGATTGTAAAGCTCTTCCTCTCTTTCAACAAAGGTTCTTTTTGCATTATCCTTGATCTCATCTAAATTATGCAGAATTGTATAGTTGAGAGTTTCAAGACAGCTAGTGTATTATGAAGATTCAACCTTAGCTGAAAAGTAGATTTACTTAACTACAAGCTTTCTAAGGAGTTATAGTTTACCAATCTAAATAATAGAAGGCAAAAAGGTTTGATATAAGGGCTAAATTGCTTTAATTAGAATAGCATACTGCTTAATGTACTAGGGATTCAAGTTACCCAAGTTTTCTGATAAGTCTTCATCGAAGAATTTGATAGATTAGAGAAGCTATTTATTAACTTTATTTCCTTTAGCTCTCTTGTCATCGGAAATACCACCACCTCCAATTTGGAGACCATAGAATCTGCAGAATTTATTTAGCTCGGACACAATTGAATAAACAATCAATTTATCCAGACCCTAGAGGAAAGTAGTACCGAGATAGTCTTGAACATAATTGACATACCTTAACCCAAACATTTAATTACCAGTCTGATCATACCATGAGGATAAATGGTCAATGTAACAACCTTTACTAATGGTCTCAGTAATATGTCTGAGAACTCTACCCATAAAGGTGAAATCATTATTATCAGGAATGAAGTTAGGAATGAAATAGTTCTCTTGAGCTTCAGCCAAAGATGTTGAGTACTTTTTGGATACAAGTGCTGTTGCTTCTTTTTCTACTGCAAACTCGATGATCCTGCTTAACTCCTCGCTCCATATTTTCTCGCCATAGACGTTTAAGAAATCTTAGATATATTCAATTGATCTCTTCAGTCCTTTCACTTTTTCTCTCAAAGCTCTAAGCTTACCCTCCAACTCTTCATTAGCTTAACCCTTTTTGAAAATAAATCCCTCATGCAGTATGTGCGCCAAAGTTTTGCCGAGCTCTTTACGTATGCCATCAATTAAAATTTCTTTGGGCTCAATCTCTATGACTCCCATCAATGTCTTATCTAAAACAAGCATTCCTTCAGTAAAGACTGAGACCTCATGGGTCAGTTTTGCTAGTTAAAACCTATGATCAAATTAGGCATGCTCTTTCAATTCTTCTTTGGAAAGCTTAACCTCAAATTCTTTAACATTTTAAGTCAAAATCACTGAAACTGACTCTAAAAGTGAAAAGATTTTTGTAGGGATTACTTATAAGACCTTTTTAACAAACTTTACAAGTTCTCCTGAATAATAATTTGCGACAGATCTCAAATCCTCAGATCCTGATTCAATGATTCTAACCAGAGATTAATTCATAATGGAGGCAAGCTTCATAAATACTGTTTTCAAAGATAAGACTACTTTTGGTTCCATTTTAATTTCCTCTTGCATTATTGGAACATAGTCTTCTATAAGAAGCCATGCATATGCAAAATCTGTAATATAGGAAATGTTTACAAGAATTTATCTTTTAACATTTACTATTCTAACCATATGATGAAGTGCTTTTTAAGTCTCAGAAATGTAGTATTTAATCTAAACACTTCTCTCAATCACATCATAGACTTATACATCTTCAAGGGCCTATATAAGTTATTAGATTTTTCTTCCAGTTTTAGTTGAATGCTTATAGTCCAAGCTTTCAACAATATTTGTGACGTTTCTAAACCAGTTAGCATAGTTTTCATCTATTGTATTTTTACCCCAGTTTCTGTTACCACTGAAGTACTCTGCTATTTCATTCATATTTTCATAACACTTTTATTTATCCTCTGCCCATATATTATGCTTTTGACTAACAAGTTTTTGAAACATGTTCTTGAGTTAATGTTCAAACTTTGAGAGATTCAAGAGTAGATTGATAATTTCTTTTGGAGTACTGCACTGATCTATTACTTCTTTGAACTTTTTGTTTTTGCAGTTTCTATGGATAAGGATCCATCTTATTGTCACGTTACAATCTCTGAGACAATTCATTAGCTCCTTAACATGGTCGAGCACAAACTCTTCTTGAAGTTATCCTTCTATGATATACTTGTCTAATCTTTTTAAGCAATCTTGCATTTTATAAAGATGGGTTTAAGCAATTTTTCTAATATTCTCAATCACTATATTATTACTAAGCGCTTTCATAGCTGCTGGGAATGGACTCCAGAACTCAGTCAAATCAACAAGATGTCCTTGATAAATAGGTATAACCCAGTTATCTGGGAAATGCTTGTCAACTATTTCTCTCATCTTGGCATTTTCATTTTGTAGAATTTTTGGACAGAAAGAGAGGAGCGTAAAAATTATAGAAGCTTGGTTGGATAGGGCTACGGATCTATGTTCTGGATTGGGATATGCTGCAAGTTGATTGTACACATCATCATCTTTTAAAGTGTTAATCAACTGCTCAATTAATACTCTGTCAATATTAAATCTGCTAAAGTAATCACTAGGATAATTGGGTGGAAAAGTCTCAGCTTTTGTCTTAGAATTAAAAGAGTATCCAGTTGTCTTGACAAGTTTGCAAACCTCATTTACATAATCACTGCTATTCTAGCCCTTATATCTTATATAGCAAACAACTAATCTTTCTCTGGCAATAGCCGGAATAAGTCTATCCTAAAGTATAAGCATCACACCATAAAGGTAAAACACTTCAATCAACAATCTTTTACCCTCTTAGTTCTGCAAAATAGTCTCAAGGTTGAAGTCTATGAAGTAGCCCTCATTTACATTAGCAATAAAAGTCTTAAACTCTTTATAGTAATTATAGATGGAATCGAAGACTTAGAAAAATCTCTCAATGATTTCCATATAAGACTCTCTGAAATTCTCATCAAGATCTATGTAATCAATGTTGCCTTGAATTTTAGCGTCATATATATCCTAGTTCTTCAAGTATTGAAAATCAAACAGAATATTCTCGTATTTCTTTTGCTCGTAGTATAAAAGATGGGCTGTGGCAGAGTCAATTGCTTCTCCATTAATCATAATAATCTCCTGGTTCTTCTCGTCCTTCTTTTTTTCCTTGGATGAAGAATCGAAAAGGAAAACATCTGGAATATGATTTGACAGTCTTAAAAGTTCAGCGAGAATAGCAGAACCATTACCTGCTAATTTCAAGAGTGCTTGTCCGCAATCATTATTGGGATCCAAAAAATCCATCTCTTTAATAAATTAATTTATATTATTAATCTATCTTGAATCTGATCTTTGGGGTTTTGGGGTTTTGGGGTTTTGGGG